TTGGAGAAAAGAGCAAGTGGAGTAGGAGGATTACATCACCTCGCGAACCACTATAAATTGCCTTGTGTTCTTTACTGCTTTCTTTACTTACCGCTCTTGCTTGCTTCTCACGTCAATAATCTTGACACGATCTACACACACACCTATCGTTTATTTAATTCCGCTGTGCACCTGACTCTAACAATCTAGTTAAGAGTCTTGGTTTATCTCTGGCTTACCTTTTGTTATGTTGTGCGAAAAAGTTTGAAAGTCTATTCACCCCCCCCCCCCCCTCTAGACTTTCACCTTACCTCTTTTGGGACCAACAACTTATCCTATTACGACTTCTAAACATAAACAACACCCGAACATGCGAATTCCCACGCAAATCTATATCAAGAACATTAAAACACAAATTCCCAATCCACCCTAGGGATCTAATTCCTCCCAAACCCTCAAAATCACAAATTATCTTTAACATCAAGAAATATCAAGATTCGTCAAGAATCATCACATCAATATCAAGAACCTCTTTTCAACATCAAGATCATCAAGATTATCAAGAATACACATAAATCATCTTATCAATCATCAAGAATATATCACAATTAACATAGAGGAATTAATCAAGACACAAGCATATAGAAAGAAGCCAAGGAAGGAGATTATAGCAAAGAAAATAGGTTTTGTTGAGACATGGGTTACCTCTTAGCCTTAATTAATTTCCTTGGCTATGAAGGGTCTTTCTTTAAGATTTCTTCTTTCTTGATTTCTCCTAAGAGATTTCTTGGAATTTATTTCTTGGAACTTCTTGTGTGGTGAGAGATTATTATGGTGTGAGTTCTAGGTGCCTCCTATGTCCCTATTTATATAATTAAGAATCCTAATTAGGGTCTAAGTGGCATGGGTTTGCTAATTCTATTTCTTATAGGACTAAGGGGTTGGCTTTAAGGATAAAGGCCCACGGACCATGGTGGACCCCTTTTTAGCAATTTAATGGATTTTAATTCCCTTTTTAGGATGGGTGATAAATTAATTAATTTGGTTTAGAGGCCGTAACACGGAGTGTTACATTTGAACTATATATTAGAGTTTCAAAATTTTGATTTGCAGTTTGAATTGAAATATCAACAACATGATCTAGGACTTCAATAGTCTACTATAGTACTATAGTACGAGTTGGGACTATAACACGTAAATCATCTTCTTGCAAACTGGCTATTAACTGAGTTGGAAAAACTAGTAGGGGATTATTTATTTGTACAGTTTCAGGTTGAGAGAAAGGAAATACATCCTCATAAAAGCATGCATCCCTGGTGACAAACATTTCTTTCGTGCTAAGATCATACAATTTATATCCCTTGACACCATTAGGAAATCCCAAGAAGATACATTTCTTGGCCCTTGGAGAGAACTTAGTTTGGTGACCACCAACAACTACAACTAGTGTTGTAAAAATTGGCCTAGGCAATTTCAGCCCTAGGCCACTTTTAGTCGGATGGTCGGCTAGGTGCCCTAAGCACCGAGTTGGGCACCCAACTCGACTGAGTCGGCACACAACTAGGTCGATTCGGTGCCTAACTCGGCCAAGTGGTTTTTTTGCCTGTTCGGTTGCTCCTCTTCTATATTCCTCAAGCCATGCACTTAACTAACCATCTAGGAGATGTAGTTGACTTGTTTGTGGGATTACAGCAGTCTAACAACTCACAACTCTAAGCGGGAAAAGTGAAGACGATATACTGGAATTAATCGACCACCTAGGAGGCGCCTAGGCGCAAGGCGCCATCGGCCGCCGACTAGCGCCTAGCGCCTTCTGCAACATTGACTGCAGCATATGCCAAGCATCCAAACGCCTTCATAAGGTTGTACTGTGGGACTTTGGATAACATAATCTGATAGGGGTTCTTATTATTAATAGCATTGGATGGTAACCTGTTGATGATATATGTTGCATGAAGAATGCAGTCCCCCCAAATGGGTTTAGGAACCCCAACCTAAAATTTCAATGCCCTAGCAACTGATAAAATATGTCCATATATACTTACACTCAAATTGGTTATACACAAGATTGTGGTGTGTATACACAAGATTTTTGGTGAATCATTCCCCTCTCTTTATAAAACTCTAGCATCTCAAATTTTTTACCATTGTCTGTGTGAATAACCTTAATAGACTTACCAAATTGGTTAAAAATCAACACGTAAAAAATTTGGAGTAATTTCCTTGCCTCGTGTTTTCCTTTCATAAGGTACACACATGTTGCTCTACTAAAGTAATCTACAACAATCAAGAAATAACAATGTCCATACGTGGTGAGAATCCTATAAGCCCCCCAAATGTAAAAATGCACAAAGTCGAAACATTTAGTTATATATGAAATGCTAAATGGAAATACCAATCTTTTTTGCTTAGCAAAATGACAACAATCACACACCAAATTAGAAGAAATAGTGATTATGGAATCAAAATCATGTAGAAGTTCTATTTTCATATTAGAAACATGTTCTAAACTAGCATGCTAAGCATCAAATTGTTTAGGTTGATCATTATTCTTACGAATACAAGACGAAGTAGTAAAGGAAGACATAGAAACAACATACAGTCCCTCTTGAAGCTTAGTTGTTTCAATCGTTTTCCCAGAAGCTAGTTCCTATATAACACATTTATCAGGACGAAACAATACGTTGTACAAGGAATCTTTCACCAACTAACTTACTGGAACTAAATTAAATCGAAAGGCAGATGTGTGTTGCACCATTGTCCATAATCTAAATATTTTTACTATCACCATATTGGGAATCAAAAAATGTGCCTTCCACTGTGTTCAACGGTCGAACCCTACATAGGATAGGTAGGTGTTACCCTTTGAACCTTCAGTTGATATATTTATTCTACTGGCTGTACAATAGAATGTGATGTCTTTGAATCGACTGCCGTTTGTGTAGACGATGATATATCCCACACAGGAACCTCCTAACCATGTTCTGTTCTCATGACTATGTGCCCGTTTTGGTCATGGGTCACTATTCCTGGTTCTGCAAGAGTTTCTAAAGAATTGAGCACAATCAATTCTCTGTTGAAGCGACCCTACTTCTCTCTCACATAGGTGATTCTTTTCTGAGTATCTCGCATACTCACACATGTCAACTGACATTCGAATCATTAAAGCATCATCGTGTTAGCCTCGTGCGAGAGTCACTATTCTAATGAGGAATGGCAGGGAGTCCGAGAACCCCATAGTCACACGCTTCGTTCCATAATTTAGCTGTCCCATTAAACCTAGGTGTCAGCTAGGTTAGGTATCCACTATAGAACTTTATTCCAATGGCTTTAGACCCATTGCTCGTGTAAACTTCTCAGTCAAATCTCTATTTAACACTTTAGTTAATGGATCCGCAACGTTCTATTTTGAATTCACATAGTCAACCAAGACAACACCAGTTGTGAGAAGTTGTTTAATGATATTATTTCTATGACATATATGTCTAGACTTACCATTATACATATGACTTCGTACCCTACCAATCATGGCTTGACTATCGCAATGTATAGTACACATATTGGAGGTACATGTCTTTCTCAACTAAGAATATCCTTGAGAAAATGTCGTAGCCATTCAGCCTCTTCAGAACATTTATCTAAGGCTATCAGCTCAGATTCCATCGTGGATCTAGCTATCAAAGTTTTTTTAGAGGACTTCCATGCAATGGCTGCAACTGTGAACGTGAACACGTAGCCACTCGTGGACTTAGAGTCCTTAATATCCGATATCTAGTTAGCATCGCTATACCCTTCAAGTACAACATGGTATCTTGTATAGTGCAGTCCAAAACACGAGTACCCCTTAGGTATCTCATAACCCTCACAATTTCCTTCTAGTGCATATCACGGGGTTACTCGTATATCTGCTGAGTTTACTAATCGCAAAGGCAATGTTTGTCATAGTACAACTCATTAGATACATTAAACTACCAATAATTTGAGCATATTCTACTTAAGAAATACACTCTCCGTGATTCTTTGATAGTAAAATGTTTGTATCAAATGGTGTCCTAGCTACTTGATTATCATCCTTGTTTAATTTTTCAAGGATTTTATCAACATAATGAGTTTGGCTTAACATAAGACCATCAAGTCTTCTAATGATTTTAATCCCGAGGATTATATTAGCCAAACTCATATCCTTTTTTGTCAAATCTCGCATTTAACATGTTTTTGGTAGACTTGATCATTCGATGGTTACTACCAACGATGAGTATATCGTCTATGTATAAACAAAGAATGACATAACCGTGTATCGTTTCCTTGACGTAGACACACTTGTCACTCTCGTTTATCTTAAACCCATTGGTTAACATCGCATGGTCAAACTTCTTGTGCCATTGTTTAGGATCTTGCATTAAACCATATAATGATTTAACCAATCTACACACTTTCTTTTCTTGGTCTGGAACAACACACCCTTCGGGTTGTTCCATATAGATTTCATCATCTAACTCGCCATTTAAGAAAGCGGTTTTCACATCCATTTGGTGAACTTCCAAATTCCACAATTCGGCTATGTCAATTGGAGAGAGTCTGGAAAATGAATCATCCATAAAAAGAACCGCCTAGGGCCATTTATACCTCTCCAATCGCGTAAAAAATACAAGTTAAACTGATTATGGGTTTGTGGTCACGATCTACCTCACAGTGTGAAATCCACTATGACTTTTCAGCATAATTCGCAGGTTCCAGAGGTCACGATTGAGTTCACGCCATGACCTCGATTGTGACCACCCACTCTGCGCAGCAGTTTTGATTTCTAGGTCATTTTTCACCTTGTAGACTTCTGAACTAGCCTTTATCGTTTTCATAAAATGTGTAGCCCTTTGAGTTTCTGTTTCAATGCCACTTTAATCATTTCATTTCAATACTCCTAGCTCGAGATATGCTCAAAATACCGAGACGTCGCCTGAAAGGGAAAAATGCAAAGCATAATGATGTCATGCTGGCTGACACAAAGTGACCACCAGTGTGACCCATGTTCTTCACTTAAAAATGCATATTTCTTCATCTCTTTTGTTCCTTTGGTTCCCCGAGTCATGTCATGATACTTCCACTCGCTCTTTTTCACTTTCTTGACCTCTCATGACTCCTGGAACTGGCCTTTGTGTCACGATGACTTCAAAACAAATCCAATTGAGCTCCAATTTACATGAACTTACAACCAATGCCTCAAAATCACCTCAATGACACAAATGAATAAAATAAGCACATACTTTGCTTCCAATTAACATGAAATCATATGAGTTTGATATCAATTGTGCACATAATAATATTAAGACTTAACACTTATCAAATCTCCCCACACTTAGACCTTGCTTTCCCTCAAGCAAGACAAAGAAAATACAAGCAAATATAAGTGTTGAGTACACTCAAAGCAATCATACCCTTCTAATGGTTGTGTAGACAAGCTATGCAAAAGAAGTTAAGAATGTGTTGTTCCTCCCCCTACCTTGAAGATATAGTGAAATGAGTGTTGCACCCTCAATTAGATCAAAATTTAAGTAAACCAAAGACCCCAAGATCACTCCTTTATTTTGGCTATTCAAGGGACACCTCTCAACACACTTATCCACAAACGAAAAGAATGATTCAATCTTCAAATTCTACAGGCCTACAGAGCCGAGCCCACTAATGAGAACGATGCACACGAGCTCTCTAACGTTGCCACATTTGGCCCCCAAAGACCCATTTAGTCAAGTGTGATGGTGTGACACAAGTTACTCCACGCGTTTTTGTCTTAGCGTGAGTTTCTCTCTTTTTTTCTAATCACCTCTAGGATAGCTCATCGAGTTAACCGCCTTCACGTAGAGCTCTACACTTTTTTGAAGTTTGTGCAATGGTTACTCGAATCCTACGAGACGGCTCACCTCATGTTTTTCCCTCTCAAGTAAGGATAGCTTAAAGTCTTTTTTAGCTTTTTCCATTGACTCTTTTTGCATCCCCTCATGCCTTTTTCATTGGGGGGTAGGGAATCACACAACTCACCAAAAGAAAAAATCTCACCTTTTGCTTTGTGGCACACCGAGAAAGTTCATTCCGGGTCTTACCACCTTACATTTTACAAACCATCCCGTGTACACTCCCATTTCAAGAGATCATTGACCTAGGTCCATGGAAGTGGTAGATTGAACCCCAAACAAGCATGCAAATGAATATAATCCTGCTTGGGCGCTATGCAAATCTCACACAGTGTTGGAGTGATTCCAAACATTTTCAACCAATTGAGCCTATAACACCCCTTTTTCCACAAATGCAAAGTAGAATGAACAACAACACATCCAAGATTTAAAATGCACATCATATCCACCTAATGTTTACAAAAGTATGACCATAAAGAAGGTACATGGTGCTAGGTCCTTCGTTGGACCTACAAGGATATAAATTTTCAAAGAATGATGCATTCCTTAATTCTATTATTGTGTTATTGTGTACATTTGGATTATGGGATTCATGTACTCAGAACCGATAAACACTACTATTATGTGCATTGCTCATAAAGATACAATCCACCGTTTTATAATCTATCTTTATTTTCTTAGGTGTTGGCACCAACACTTTGGCAAAACACCCCCACACCTTGAGGTATTGGTAGGAAGGCTTCTTACCTTTCTACAGCTCATAAGGAGTCTTATCGAGCTCCTTGTGGGGTACCGTATTTAAAAGGTAATTACTTGTCAAAATTGTCACACTCCACATGTTTTGATGTAGGCCTGAATTTATAAGCATCACATTCATTATATCTTTCAACATGCGATTCTCTCGTTCGGCAACACCATTTGATTGAGGTGCGTAAGGTGTCATACACTCGTGTATAATACCTATACTTGCGCAGAAGTCACTAATAGGTGCTTCGTACTCACCACCTCTATCGCTTCTAACCCTCTTAATCTTACGATTAAGTTGGTTTTCAACTCCATTCTTATAAAGAATGAATTTCTCTAATGCTTCATCTTCGCTTTTCAGCAAATACACATAGCAATAACGTGTGCTATTATCACTAAACATGATAAAATACTTATTACCACATCTTGTTTGTATCGATTTAAAGTCACACAAATCACTTTGGATTAAGTCAAGTGATTCAGTTTGCCTTTCAACCCATTTGAAAGGTGTCTTAGTTAGTTTTGTCTAATAATAATTATTATTATTATTATAATTATAATTATAATAATAACAACAACAACAACAACAACAACAATAATAATAATAATAATAATAATAATAATAATAATAATAATAATAATAATAATAACAATAACAATAACAATAACAATAACAATAACAATAACAATAACAATAACAATAACAATAATAACAACAACAATAATAATAATAATAACAATAATAAGAATAACAATAACAAGAATAACAACAACAACAATAACAACAACAATAACAACAACAACAACAATAACAATAACAACAACAATACTAATAATAATAATAATAATAATAATAATAATAATAATAATAATATAATTTCAAAGTCCATATTTTGATTTAAATTCTGTTTTGATTGAATATTTGTTGAGCATATAATGTGGGTGTTTTGTAAATGGTTGTTAGCTGATAGCTATTAGCTGATTGGGTTAGTAGGTTTGACTAGTTGATGAGATTAGCTGATTGTAGAAAAGTGTTTGGTAAATTAGTTGTTAGCTGATAGCTGATTACATAAAAAATGACTATCTCAAAAAGCTTATCGAAAAAGCTATTTTGAGCAGTTTTTTGAATTTTAGTTGAGATGGAGCCTTTTAGTTATCAGTTTGGGCTTTTAGTTGAGATGGAGCACATGCTTCAATTTGGTGTAAGAGGCTAATCGTTATACTGTGGACCCTAATCCTATACGACGTCGTTTTGAACTTTAATTTTAAAGGAGACCATTTGTTTTTTAGTTCGCGTTACAGAGTTTTTTTTTTTTTGTAAGGTATGCTTCTGTGCATCGTGTTATGCGTTTCTGTACATAATGTTACGAAATTCTATACCTTAAGCGTAAAGATTCTGAACCTGAAATTGATTAGTAGTTGTATAACACAAAACATATTATATGTCTTATTTTACGAATTTATGTCTTGTATTATGAAATTATGTGATTATAGGAAATAAATTATTTACATAAATCATATCTGAGAATAAGTAAAATAGAAAACATGTTTATGTATCTCGTGTTATGCATTTTTGTACATCATGTTATGTGTTTCTGTCAGTGTTGAAAAAGACGTTAGGCGCCCCTTAGGCGCCCGATTTATTATTTTTTTTTTTTTTTGAAAACCGGGGTTCGGCCGCCGACCGCGGAGGAGGCCGATTTTTCGTTCCTCGACGCGGCCGAGCGCCGCCTAACGCCTAGGCGTGATTTTTGCAACACTGGTTTCTGTACATCATGTTACACAATTCTGTACGTTAAGCATAAGGATTTCTGTACATGAAATTGATTAGTAGTTGTATAACACAAAACACATTGTATGCCTTATCTTACGAGTTTATGTCTTATATTATGCAATTATGTGCCTATATGACATTAATTATTTATATAAATCAGATATGAGAATAAGTAAAACAGAAAACATGTGTATGTATCTCATGTTATGCGTTTATGTACATCATGTTACACAATTCTGTACATTACGCATAAGAATTCTGCATCTAAAATAAATTAAAATTTGGGTTGAAACATAAGAAACGAAAAGTTACGGAATCTGTTAAAACTTAAATATCAAAGAACGTCGTTTTGATCCAGGGTCCACAATACTATGTGGACCCTGGTCCACGATATAAATTGCCATTAGAGGCAACCCCATGCCAAAGATCATTGGGTTCAAAATCGGTCGCACACGTGAGAGGACGTGTTAAGTATATAATATATAAACATAAATATGAAATCCAAATATCAGCTTAGACTTTTGTTCAGATAAAGCACATGCTTCAATTATATTTACAGTATAGATTTGCAATTTGTATTTTGTTTGTCTAGTAACTTATGTTACACATTTAACTTATGTTTATAGTTGAGGTTACACGTTGTTTTTCTTTTTTTCTTTCTTTCTTTCTTGTTCTTTCATTTTTTACCCAACCAAGAACTCTCGACTCTATATATAGCTTGATGGTTTTATTGGGACTAGGCCCACCATAAACCGGGTATAGAGATACAAAACGGGGGTAGGAAAACAATAGCTTTATTACCCGGGGCGCTAAGCCCAAAATAGTACGTACAAAGCCCGAGGCCTAGAATGACGGCCCAAGGAATGGGTTATAGCTAACTATGTTACTGGTAGGAATCGAGCACAGGTAGCTGGGTTGAGAGTATAGACCAGAGACCACTAGATCAGTGTGTCTGTCGTGCTTAGATGATTCCCCATCGAAGGGAGGGAAGGATGCATTATATAGTGCGAAGGGCCTTTTGGATTGATGACAAGTGTACGGTATCAACTAGCCATCCGTATCCATGCTCCACGTGTCCCATGCATGCCTCATGTCTTCACCCACGTCTCCGCACTCTCTCCCACCTTCTCTACCAACCCTCTCTACCTCTCCCAGCCGATGGGGGCACCGATGGTGAGCCCGAGGCTGCATGGTCCCCGCTATTCACGCCATGCCATGGGAAGTCCGATGGGCTCACATTACTAGCCATGCGCTAGCCTGAAGGGTCGATTACCAACCCCCAATGTCGTACCGTACCCCTCCACATCATATCGCACCATTTCGAACACCACAACGCACCGCCTCGAGAACAGGGGGCGCCGTTGAAGTGCCCGAGGGCGCACCACCCTGCCCGGCCACGCCACGGCTTAAGGTGGTCGGCGGGTCACGCCGCCGGCCGGCCAATGGCCGGTCGTGGCCTGTTAATGAATCTGCCGGCCCAGAATATAGGGCATAAATATACGTTATAGCACTTCAATGAACATAAGATGATGTAGTTTGATTGTCTTGGATGTGTGTTGTTGTACGAGAGGGCGTGGGTTTAAAACTTGCCGGCAGCGCCTTCTTTTGTTGCATTTTACCCCAACTCTAGTCGGTGGGGCGCCACCGGGGTGACGAGACATGCACCCCCCCCCCCCCCTCTGGCCACGCCCAGCCGCCGGGTTTCCAAAACGGCGGGCCAACCCACCGGCCGACCGCAGGGCATTCTGCCCCGGTAACCTTTTCTCTCGCCTTCTTTTGTTCCATTTTACTCCAACTCTAGCCGGTGGGGCGACGCCGGGGTGACGAGACGCGCACCCCCTGCTGGCCACGCCCAGCCACCTGGTTTCCAACACGGCGGGCCAATCCACCGGTCAGGGGCCGGCCGACCACAGGTCATTCTGCCCCGGTAACCTTTTCTCTCTCTTCCTTTGTGTCTTTTGGGCCACCATGCATGCTTGTCTTCCTAGACCAATAAGACTTGGGCCAACCTCCTTTCTTCACCCCCACTTGCGCCAATATTTTCCCAATAAAATGGGCCAGCCTTCTTCCTTCACCCCCACTTGGACCAATATTTTCCCAATAAAATGGACCCCCTAGGGTCCCATGTCCCCTTCATAGCTAATTGGCTCAAACCAAGAAAACTAATAGATAGTTTTTACGGGAAATTGAACTTGGGACTTTGTAGTTACTAGTTACCAATTTACGTCAACTGTACGACCAACTTGGCAGATGAATAATTATTACATCTCAAAATTTATTATTAATGGGGGCGGAGGCTAAGGACCGAGTCAGGCATGCTGCGCGACTGGGCTTGGTAATCAAAGGTTGCGGCAGGTACTGGGAGGGGATTGTTGGGCGTCGGCCAGGTTGGGCGAGTTCAGCCCTTGCTCGATTCGAGATGTGGCGCTATGGCTTACCATTGAGGGATGTGGTTAAATGGTTAATGTCCACCTACTTATCACTAATTGATTTTAAGTAGGATATGACAACAAGATAGGCAAAGAACTCTGTGGTTAAGCGTGCTTGACTTACAATAATTATAATGCAGCACTAAGATACATCAATTATTATAAATAAAGAATAATTACACTTTTAGTCCTTCAATTGTTGGCCAAGCACCTTGTGCTCAGATGGCATGTAGTGACCTCTCCCATGTGGGAGGTCATGAGATCATTTGTGCTTTAGTAGGTTGAGAAAGTACGTTTGAACAGATACTACAATGTAATAGAGTCAGTAGCAAAAAAAAAAAAAAAAACAAAAAAAACCCTTCAATTGTTCGCTATTATGCAATTCAGTTCCCAATTTTCAATTTTAATCAATATGATCCTCAATTATTTTACCATATTAAATTTAGTCATTCAAGATATAAAACACTCAATTTTGCCGTTCAATTTTTTGAAAAGAAAGAAAATATAAGTAAATAATTGAGGGATTAAATTGATTGTTTTACACCTTGAGATATTATATTTACAATATAGTATAGTAAAATAATTAAATACTACAATAACTAAAATTAAAAATAAGAGATTAAATTGCATAATAAATAACAATTGAGAGACAAAAAATATAATTATCCATGTATATAATATCAACCACACACTTCGTCTTCGTTCCATTATTCACTTGAGCTTGACATATATACCTCTCGTGTAGACCACAATTTTTATACTATTTGCTTTTCCTTTATGCATTAGCAATATTCTTCTATCCTTTCATATTGCCATTTTTTTAACGTTAATTCTCCTCATTAACCGGGTCCAACAGTATCCCTCTTCTGCTTTTTGTCCGCATTATATGAAAACAATGACACTTCCAGTATAAACAGATAAATTTATTGTGACAAACATTTAAAGAATCTTTCAAATGGTTCACATATTCATATATTTCGCAGATAATATGTGAAGAAGATTAATTTGACAATTCTTTGAATGCGTAATGAGGCATTTGGTTGGAAGGAGAGAATTAGGGGTAGTAGTCAAAGATCATTTAGTCTAGTGGCATGAAGTGACTATCCCAAATGAGAGGTGGGAGGTCATGAACAGGGCCGGTTTTTAGATTTTTGTGTCCCCGTTCGGATAAATAAATGAGGCCCTATCAAAATCACAATCTTTAAAATTAATACCATAATAATAATAATAATAATAATAATAATAATAATAATAATAATAATAATAATAAAGTGGTATAATGTTGGTGTGCCCAAAGAAAAAAACAAAAAAAACATATTATGGAATAAATTACAATAATAATAATAATAATAATAATAATAATAGTGTGTGCAAACTCGCAATGCAAAATGATTAAAAAAAAAGGGTAGAAAAAAAAACAAAAAACATATTATGGAATAAATTACAATTATAATTATAATAATAGTGTGCGCAACGCGCAAGGCAAAAAAAATATATATTCAAAGTTGGAGCAGTGCTCAAGTGTTGAAATTTTGAACCATTGACCTCTAAGTTACTAAAGTGCAATAAGCACATGTTCCTACCATTCCTCCACAGAACCCTTTAAGTTTAAATGAAACCTTTTAGTTTTTATTCCTAAACTAGTTAGGTAAAAATTAAATATTGAACCCTCTAAAATTTGGGGGCCCTGGTCATGGATTCGATCTCCAGTGAGGGCATTATTGACTCTTTGTGCTTTAATAGGTTGAGAAAGATTTTTAATGGGAACGTAGTTATGAATAGATACTACATTTTAACATAGTCGACGACACTAAAAAATTATAATAAAGGACAAATTTGTAAATTCTTTCTTTTTTCCTTTCCCATCTGTTGTGAAATTCCAATTCTTTGGGGGACGTAGGAGTTAATTCAATGGTTAACCAAAAAAATGTAATTTTGATTACTAAAGAATTTTTTTGAAAAGGATTTCCAATTCTTGCATACCAAACATGCCATAAATTCAAAGAATGTTTATCCGTGACTTTTTGCTTTTTGTGTGGTGCCAAATGTTTTTTCAGCCTTTCAGGTGTCAACTCACTAAGGGTGTGTTTGATTCGCACATGAGAATCAGAATTAGAATGTGTATTAAATACTTGGTAATGATAATGGGTTTTGGTAAAAGTATTTAACATGTTTGGTCGTATAGTGGAATGGGAACGGTTACTAATAGTAGTGTTTGAGAATGAATAACGGAATGAAACCCTTATTTTATTTGGGTATGAATTTTTCAATTGATGGTGTATTCAAATCCCATAGTAGTGGTCTAAAAATCTATCAATCAAACAATAACAATCTCTTTCATACCCATTCTTATGGGCAAAACCCATCAACCAAACACACTCGGAATGTGCACCAAAATGATGGCCTTTGGGCGATTTTTATGCTATGGACCCTGGTCCACCTTGCAAGGTGGACCCAGGTCCAAAATGTGTTTTCTCCCTTGCCGTTAACTTGCCGTTTATCTTCAGAATTAGTTTCTCTATATTCATTAATTTTTTAACTTTATATTCACAATTTTAGAACTCTATATTCAAAATTACAAAACTCAATATTCACAATTGCAGAACTCTATATTCAGAATTACAGAACTCTATATTCACAATTTCATAACTCTATATTCATAATTTTTGAACTCTATATTCATATATATATATATATATATATATATATATATATATATATATATATATATATATATATATATATATATATATATATATATATATATATATATATATATATATATATATATATATATATACATACATACATACATACATAATATGTATGTATGTATGTATGTATGTATGTATTTATTTATTTATTTATTTATTTATTTATCAATGGCTGAGGAAATGGTGTCATTAACGGCACCGTTACTCCAAACACGCGTTTTGCAATCGTTATGCTGTGCATCCGAGTGCACCATGCATGGTGCATACGGATGCAAAAACGACGTCGTTTTGACAAAAAACGCGCGTCCCACTTAAAAAGAAAATTCCAGTTTCGATTCCCCTCACCAGCATTATGTTCTTCATTCATTCTGAATTTTTAGTTCATAGATTCTGGATTTTTAGTTCATAGATTCTGGATTTTTAGTTCATTGATTCTGGATTTTTAGTTCATTGATTCTGGATATTTAGACGTAAATCGAAACTGATTTTTTTTTTTTCATTCATGCTGGATATTTAGTTCATTCGTTATAGATATTTAGTTCATTTATTATGGATTTTTAGTTCATTCATTCTGTATTTTTAGTTCATTCATTCTAGATTTTTAGTTCATAGATTCTGGATTTTTAGTTCATTGATTCCGAATTTTTAGTTCATTGATTCCGGATATATAGTTCAAATTATGCACAACATAATGATATTACTGGGAATCGAAACTGATTATTTTTTTTAACTGGGACGCGCATTTTTAACCAAAACGTCGTCATTTTTGTATCTGTATGCATCATGCATGGTGCACACGAATACACAGCATAATTTGTGGACCTGGGTTCACAGCATAATTTGCTGCCTTTTGGGGTTTGGATCTGATGAATAAATATTGGGTTGGGCCAAGTGAAATTAATAATTTCCAACACAAGTATAAAGAGTCCGTATGCACCACCATAATAATACAATCGTTATGCTATGAACCTGTGTCCAGAATGCATTGTGAACACGATAACGGTACTATTAGTGGCACCGTTATTTTCTATTTTTTTAAAAAAAAATTCAGACCGCTTCATTATAGGAGCATATGTTCATAATTTTATCACTATATGTTCATAATATAAAATTATTAAAACAAATATAAAATATATTAAAACTTCTGGCTCAGGATTAAATACAAATATAAAATATATTAAAACTTCTGGCTCAGGATTCACAATTTAATATGGACCCTAGTCCATAGCATAACAATTGCTAATATGGCAATGGCATCTTTGGAGATTTTTTACACTTGAAATTAATTTTCGGGCCTAAGCATGATTTTGGACTTGGGCTAGGAGATGGATGACCTGAAAGTGGGTGAATACGATCTTTATGGCAAATTATGGTCCACACAGTGTTATGTTGACCATAACAAAAAATATATTTTCAATATAATAAATGTACATTATTTTTATACTGAATGTACATTATATAATATAATGTACAATCAGAATAAAAATAATGTAAATTCTCTGAATACAATGTACATTATTTTGTATTGAATGTACATTATGTTTGTATTGAATATACATTATTTTATAGTAGACAAAATATGGTCTACACAACTTGTGTGAGCCATGATACACACAATAATGATTGGATCGTTATGGCAATTTATATCGTACACCGTACATTGCATTGTGTGCCTTGGTGCAAAACGACGTCGTTTTGCACTTTAAAAAAAAAAAAAAAATTCTTTTTTGTGTTTGCTGTTAACTTGTTTTAAAAAAATCATATTTTGAAAATGTACATAATTGTATACTAAAATTTACATAATTGTATATGAGAATGTACATAAACTTTTAACTATTAAAAAAAATCGTGTGTTCGAATGTACATAATTGTATAAAATAATGTACATAATTGTACAACATAATGTACATAATTGTATAACATAATACACGTACACTCTGTCGCGTCGACTCCCCACACAACTTATCAAAACGACGTCGTTTTGATAGGCGCGGGGCGCACAGTGCTATGTGCACCGTGGTGCAGGGTATAATGATTGGATCATTATATCGTGGACTAGGTGGACCCCAGTCTAATATACATAATTTGACTTCATAATGTACATAATTTATGTTCATAATGCACATAATTTATGTTCATAATACACACACATAAATATGATATAATGAACATGAATTATGTGCATTATGAACATGAATTATGTGCATTATGAACATGAATTATGTACATTATGAATATGAATCATGTGTATTATGTTAAGTGTTTGTGTCTTCATTAAATACTTAAATAGTGTTTATGTGTATGTGTATTATGAACATAAATTCTGTACATTATAAACATGATTTCTGTACATTATGAAAGTCAAATTATGTGTATTGCACTGTAAACCCTGGTCAACGATATAAATTGCCGGGTGAATATTGACAAATTTGTCTGTGGATCATGAATGCAAGATACATGTTTAATAGGGAAAATGCCATTTTACCCCTGAATTATAGACATATATCACTTTTTTCCCGTCTGGGTTATTCATGTATTCACATTTACCCCCTCAATTATTTTAAAAGTGACAAGTTTTTTCCCTTTGATATTAAATGAACATTTTTACCCTTAAAATTGTTATTTCATTTATTTTTCTTTTTCAATAAATTATTTCTTATATGTAGGGATGACTACGGTTCGATTTGAACCGAACCGAACACTATAGCAACCAAATTGAAATAGTAAGGGAAGTTCTTGTAATGGTTCAGAATCAGGAAAAAAAATGTTTAATTAGGCTATTTTTAAAATAGAAAATAAAATTTACAAAAATAAATAAATAAATAAATTTTGAACCGGCAGTTCAAACCGAAACTGGAATAAGAATAAATGAGATCCGAAACCAAACATATTTATAAACACCATTTGTAAATGATAAATCTGTTCGGTTCCGATTCACATTTATTCTGTTTCTAGTTTCAGTTTGAATCGCCGGTTCAAAATTTATTTATTTATTTATTTTTGTAAATTCTATTTCTTTATTTTAAAATAGTCTAAATTCAATAATATAAGCATCCCTAATTATTGGAGAAAAAAATAAATGAAATAATAATTTTAAGGGCAAAAATGTCTATTTAACATCAATTGGAGAAAAATGACCACTTTTAAAATAAATAAAGGGAAAATGTGTATACATAAATAACTCAAGGAAAAAAGTGCTATATGCCTATAATTTAGGGATGGGGGGGGGGGGGGGGGATGTGTCATTTTACCTTTTTAATATACTAAAAGTGCAGTATTTGTATATACAAAATAATGTACTTTCAATACTTAAATAATTTACTTTCAAATAATGTAATTTAGGTACACAAATAATGTACTTTTACTACATAAAAATGTACTTTTTATCCAAATAATGTAATTTAGGTACACAAATAATGTACTTTTACTATATAAAAATGTATTTTTTTATTTATGATTAACACAGCTGTGTGGATCATGATTCATAGAATAATGATTGGTGAATAGTTTGTTGGGGGTAGTGGTTGTGGGCTTGTGGAAAATGATATTATGGACTATGTTTCATTATTATAATATTATAGATTTATTATTATAATATTGTAGGTCAATTTAAAAATATCAATGTAATAATTCATTATTATAATACTGTAAGTTTATTATAATAATACTGTAAGTTCATTATAATAATATTGTAGGTTCATTAAGGTGACATCAATTTGCATACTATCATTTACACATTATTCTTATTTTTTTTGTGATGGTTTTATCAGCATCGAGTCCACCATAAATCGGATATAGATAGGATGTACATAATGGGGGTAGGATAATAGTAATTTTATTCTTTGAGGCGCTAGATCCAAAAGATTATATACAATAATCGAACCTAGGCATTCCTATAGAAAGTTTGGACAAGTGACAACCAAGCTAGTATAGGAGGATTATAACGATATAAGGGATGTCTAAAGGGGTGATTTAGTGATTATATATTGTTGAAGACCTTTTTATGGCTCGATAAGTGTGTGGTCTTCATTAGTCTCTCATCTTAGCCATACATATGTCTCATCTTCACCCCTCATTACTTGTCACATCGCTCTTCATTTGAATATGTATAACATGATATGCTACCTCTTTATATACAAGAAATGAATATCTTAGCTGGTTAGTGCTTATGTTACCAACTTGGAAGTTTGTAGGTTCAAACACAGTTGGTTGCACCCCATTTATATTTTGTTTCAGAGTTAATTCAAGCAATGGTCTTCTGACTATTGTGATTTTTCAAAATTGGTCATCGTATTTTAATTTGGACGAAAAAGACACTTGACTTTTATATTAGTTTTAACATTAGTCCTTCCGTTAACCTTCAGATAGTTAGGTGTTAGTATAGGGGCTAAAATAGTCATTTCATTAGTTATGTCAGTATACAACCTTCATTGGACGAAAGCACGTCGAGAAGAGTTCGTCGTTGCCTCCTGCTCTGTTCGTTGAGAAAAAAACAGGGGTCACCGGAAGCTCGTTGAGAGAGCAACTCGTCAGGGAGATCTAGCCGCCGCCACTGTTGGTTACCGTCATCACTAACCACTGCTACAACATCGAGAGGGAACCAGAGGATGAAGCTGCCTTCGCTGGATCCATTGTAGCCGCCACGCCGCCGGAAAGCATCATCATCAACTTCGCCGAAAGAGAGACAGAGGTTCAAGGTAAGTCTGGTCTATTTCCTTCAATATTTTGAAAATAAAGTTGCAGCGTTTCATTGATGAATCTATTCGAGATTCACATCATTATAATGAGGTTGCATTAAAATTGTGAAATGTGGTATTTTGAAAATGAACTTGTAGTCTTGTGAAGAGGATATTGAATTTGCTTAATGAAATTATTTAATGTCTATTAGTATAATAATATATTTGCATTAGTATTCTAAAAATGAACTTAGAGTATTTTCAAAATAAAGTAGTATTTATTGAAAATGAATCTAATGTAGTGATTTACTATAATTGTATGTTAATTTAAAACATTAAACTAAAAATATTAATATGTGATATTTAAAAGAAATTAATTAGAGATTTTTAACGATATATATTTTATATATTAATTTTATTTGTATAAAAAAGAAAACAAGAAAGTAAACTTTAGTTGAAAAATAATAATTTAGATTAACTGGTAAGTTTTTTGAAAACCAACCAATGAATGATTATATTAATGAATCAAAGCTACAATGC